TCTATTGTCTATTTTTATTGCTTATTTTATTTTTTTAATTTTTATTTTTGTATATTACACACAAATAATATCAAAATGTCATAGAAGTAACTGTTATTGTCATTTTCCGTATTTTAACACCCCGAATAAAAAAATAAAATAAAAAATTCTAATATAAATTTCAAATTTGTTAAAATATAAAGTAAAAAACAAAAGTGTTCTATTTTATTTTACAATTTTATTGGTTATGGGTTTAAAAGCAGGCAATTTGTATTGTAATAATAATAGGATAAAAGTGTATATATATAAGGTCAATAAAAAAAATTATAAAAAAATAATAATAAAAAAAAAATTTTTTATATATTTTTCCGATATGATGTTGATGAATGATGAATGCTGATAGTAGGCAGAGAGGCAGAATTCAATTCTCAAATGATTTCTATTGTTTAAATGCGTAAACGTCTGTTCATATATGTACATATTCACATATGTATATATACTTCTACCATTGTTTTTTTTGCGGATTTATTCTTATTTTTAAAACAATTATTATTTGAAAAGATTCTAAAATGTCCAAAACAATTTTGAAATTCATATTTCATTCAAGAATATTTTCAAAATATTGAAGAGGAAAAATTAAAAGAAAAAACAATAATATACATATATAAAATTCCATAGCATTGTAAAATATGTGTAAAAAAAATGTAAATGCACATACACATTTCGACATTTGATCACACTACATGCATGTGTATGTGGGTGCTTCAAATATATGACCGTTATGACATTGTGATTTTTCATGTAATAAAAATCATAATAAAAATAAATATCAAAAAATTGAAAATAATTTTTTTTTTATTTCATTTTTTAATTTGATCCATATTCATATTTTTTTCTTTTATTCTACTTTTTATACATACATATTTATTATTGTGAATATGTAAACATACAATTCAGGTATGTTATAAATGTACAATCAAATTTCAGAACTCAAAACACGATAAAAAAAAATACAAATTTTCACAGCGAAAATTCCAAATTGATAACAGTAAAAATGCAAAAAAAAAAATAAACTCATAGAAAATGGCAATTTATTTATTTTACACTTAATAAATTTATAATCTTAAAAGTGTTATACTACAATATGTATAACAGTTTTATAACAGTTTACAATATATATAACAGTTTACCATATGTATAACAGTTTACAATATGTATAACAGTTTACAATATGTATAACAGTTTACAATATGGAGTATAAAATGTATATTAAGGTACACTTAAGTTTTTTATTAATTTATTGAGAATATTTACAGATAAAAATTACTTTTCAATTAGAGCAGTATACATTTTATAAAAAATTCAGTGATATATGGAGTCGGAATCAAATGGTTCAGTATGCCAAAGAATTTGAAAGATTTTAATTTTTAAAAATCTGGCAGAGAACTGAAATATTTTATAATAGATTAGACTTGTAACTAAACGTGGCTATACAAGAAACAGTTTAAATATTATAAACGAGTAAATTTATGGTTAGGTGTTCGCGTATAACATCAAAAATTTGTTCTATGACATGTGAAATTTTATATATATACATACATTGTATTGTGTGTAAAATAATTTAAAAATTACATATTAATGTATAACAAAATATCAATGCATATAATGAATACAAAAACATCTTGTATAAATCATGATCCATTTTTGTACCATCAACATATTATACACTGTTATAATATGTTATATACGCTTTATCACGCACATATACCATACAAACATTATATTATAACGTATATTATATTCATATATGTATATGTTTTAAAAATTGCTTTCAATTCGCGTCCTTTTTGAACATTTTAAAAACGTATATGCATTAAAATGTCACATAAAAAAAAAAAATAATAATAAAAAAAAAAACGAAAAACAAGAAATCCTTTATGATAGGGTTTAAAGAGGTCATCACTGAGGGCAGTCACAATATCAGTAGTTGAGCTCTAATAGATTTTTATTTTTACTAAAAAAAAAAAAAAAACACACACATGAATTATAAAACAATATTCATGTATATGCTATGTATAACGCAAATATAAATGATAATATGTATGCATGCTATATATACAGAGAACAGGATATGCTATAGTAGAAAAAAGAAGGATAATGATAAAACAAAAAAAAAAAAGAAGAGGAAAAATGTACAACTGTTTTTCGATTTTTTCTACTTTTTTCTCTTTTTTTTTTTTTTTTTTGTAAAACTGGTAAATTCTTTCCTCAATACAATTAAGTAAGCAATAACTGATTGAAAAAGGATTTCAAAAAAAAAAAAATTAAAATGAAAAACGTTTATACAATTATAATTTGTAGGCATTTATGTATGTACGTATATCTCTATAGAATACATAAACTTATGCCGACTAATGTACGCACATACATTCGCACATATAAAATTGACATTCATATATGTAGATAGAGGAAAATAAAATGTGAGAACAATTTCAGAATTTTAAATTTTATATTTTTGTAATTATTGTTATTAATGTTTGACCGTCAATTACCGATTTAATTGTCATAAAAGCTTTTTTCTTTCTTTCTTTTTTTTTTCATTATTATTTTCTCTTTCTTATTTTTGTATTTATATTTGATTATTGCCTCTCTTCATATTATATATTGCTTATAAATACACGGTCATCATTAATGTAATAATAAACACAAACAATATGAAAGGGGGAGAAAAATTTTTGATGATGATGATGATATTAATGATTGATGATATTGATGTTGATTTATAATTATGTAATATACGCTCTTGTTTATAAATTTATGATAATCTCTTCATCAAAAATATATAAGTACAATTGTAGAATAACAGAACAGTAAAAATTCTTCTCATGTGATATTTCAGAAATAAAAAAAAATTTTTTTTCATTTAAATTCACCAGGATTTTAGTTGGGTAATTTTTTAATATGTTATTTTTGATTTTATAATATATCATAATATTATATAAATGAGTATATAGGTATATGCATAAGAACTCAACAACACAAAAATATGTTAAAATGAGTTTTTGTTATAATTATGAATTATAAAATTATAGAGATATTAAAATTATTGTAATTTTTCCAATAGATTTATTTTAAATTGCAAAGGTTATAAAATTTTTAAGTTTGTGATTATTGGTTGTTTAACTACATAATATATGGTAATGTATATATGACGAATTTTATATTATATAATATTGATTTCTAAATATATGCGAAATTATCTATTTTTAACAAAAATTATTTAAATATCCTAGAGTTCAAAACTATTGTATTACAATCGAAAAAATATTGAAACTCTCGTTTTTCTATATAAAGGTATAATGTAACATATGTGAATAAATTTGATTATTTGAGAATATTATGTATAAACAAAAATCTAATTAGAGTACTATGTTTAATATAATTATAATTTAATTAAATATAAATCAGAATTTAAATGCTATTTATTATATTTTAATTTATTTTAAATTTCAAAAATTAAAATTTTATTCCGAACACCATTGAATTTTTGTAAATATTTAAATTCTTACAACAAAATATTGGAGAAATATCAGTAAATTATTAAAATAAAATTTTAATTGTATTTTCTACTCAAGTTACTCTGGTAATACGGAAAATTATTAAAAATATTGAATATATTTCCAAAAAAAAATCAATTTCTGATGCATTTCTAGGAGATATTAATTTCTCAATTAGTATTAAAAATTAAAAGAAATCGAATAATTTTAAAGTACTATTTCTTTACAAATGTTTAAATTGCATTATTCAAACCTATAAATGTAAGAAAATAAGCAAAACAATTACAAAAAATTTTAATTCACCCTAATTTAATAACAATAATAATGAATGTACAAGTATTTTTATATATGCAATAAAATAAACTAAAAATTCTCTTATACAAATACAATTTTCGCTCATAAAAATATTTCTAAGAGAAAACAATTTATATTAGATTGCAAAGCAATGTCATTAGTAACGCAATACAAAATACAATTCTCTATTTCACTTTTTGCTTACAATTATTATTAACACGATTTTCTCTTTCGTTTATCACTGAAGAGAATTCTCTTTCAATATTGTCTACCACATCAAATCTCTTAAATGTATTACTCGTTTCCTGATGAAAATGAATATTCTTCTACTAGGAAAATATCAAATTATTTTCTACATTAATAAAATTGTTTTGGGTGAAAAAAAAAATAAAAAAGATATTCACGGCGAATTTAATGCAATCCAAAGAAAAACCTTTTTGATCAATTGAAGAGAATTTTGTGAAAACGCTTTGTATGTTTTTGTTATTTTTGTATAATTAAGAGTTTTAATTTATTATATATTAAATTGTGAGTCCTTTTTTTTAATAAAAAATTTTTAAATAAAATGGTACAAATAAAATATATAAAAACCATATGGATAAGGACTTTTTCATATTGGAAAAGTAAAAAAAATGTTGAATTGAAATAAATTTCATTTTGATTTTCTTTCACTGATTTTTTCTTGTTTTATTTGCTCTTTTATGTTTTACTTTTTCAGCCCTCATTTTTTATTTATTCGCTTTCTTTTCTTCTTCTTTTTTTTTGTGTTTTTGGGCAATTAAAAAAGTATAAAGCCAGAAAGGCAATTTGATAACCATTCAGTCATAATTTTGACGATAAAGCGTTCGGTTGTTTTAATTTAATTGTTTTATTGTTTTTATTTTTATTTCATCGGTTTCGCATCATACAATATGGAATAAAATAAATTTTGTGAGAGAAAAGACAAAACACTATAAGGATATAAGTGATTTTAGAAAAGAAAAAACAAAAAAAAAAGTAAAAAAACTGTTTAAAGTTTTCAGAAAAAAATTTTTTTTTAAATTTTAGCAATTAAAAAGGATTTAATTCAATTGAAATGCCATAGACTGTTAAATATTTGAAAGGATTTTAACCTTAGTTATTAACACTAAATGCAATTAATAAATTTAAGGATTATTTAAATATTTTTTTTTTTAATTTCACAAATATGGACTGTTAAAGATTGTTAAAGAAAAATTATTATTAAATTAAAAAGAATTTTATTCGAAAAGCATAAAAAAAATTAAATTATATTCAATATGTTTACAAATTGGTTAACAAGTCCTACAACAACTACATCAACATCTGTTAGTCAAAGTGGAAATCCTTCTTCAACTTCATTTGTTGGTCAATTACCAACAAATTTAATGACAACACCACCTGATATTATACTTGAAGTTGGACCACCACCTAGTGTTCGTTTTGTAGCACATAGTTCACTTTTAGCAATGCATAGCGGATATTTACGTTCTGCTATACGTTTAGATGAAAATAATGGAAATTTACATAATACAATTGGTGGTCCTGTTGAATTACCACCAATTTATTTAACAAATGTTACACCAGAACAATTTGGTCCACTATTAACATATATGTATACAGGATATTTAGATTTAACAATTGAAAATATTTTTGGTGTTTTATTAGCAACTCATGTTCTTCATATGCCAAGAGCATTAGAAATTTGCAGGTAAATTAAAAGAAATAAAAAAAAAGAGAATTCTAAAAAATATTTTTTTTTTAAATATTTTATATTTTTTAATGAAAAAAAAAATAAAAAATCAAAAATATTATAGGGCATTTTTAGCACGTTCACAAGCTGAAGGATTTTTAAATGGAAACTATCTTAATCAATTAAATAATAATAATTGTGAATTAAATACAACAAAAAATACAAAAATTATACGACCAATACCAAGTAAACCAATAATATCAAGTTTAGGATTTATAGTACCTCCAATGCAACATATCTCTTTACCAAGTACAGATACACCATTCCGAAGTTTAAGTTCACATAATTTAGAAAATTTAACAAAAATAACAAATAAAATTTCAACTTCAACAAAAATTAATCAAAAATTAGAAGAATCAAATTCAAGTAATCCATCACCAACATGTGAAAATTCAAATCCATTAGAATTAAAAACAAAAACAACATTTAATCAAAATCAAAAGGATAATAATTCAAATAATCAAAATAATAATGCAAAACAAACAATTTTACAATCAACAACACCAACTATAATTAAAAAATCACCAAAATTAAAACGTTCTAGATCAAAAAGTTCTACAGTAACAGCAGCAGCAATAGCAGGAACAACAACAACAATATCAAATCCAACAACAGCAATAACAGATACATCAAATTCAATAAAACATTCAAATATATTTAATCAAAATCAAAATTTAAATTCTAATAATCAAGATAATGAAAATAAAGTTATTATTGATGTTGCTAGTTGTGATGGACCAGTAAGATTTCGTAGAGTATTAAATGATGCATACGGAAGACAACCAGATAGTGTTCATATACCACCACCACAACATGAACGTAGTCATGAAAGTGTATCATATTCATTTCATCAACAAATGGCAAAAAATATAAGTCAACAGAGACAGAAACAACAACAACAACAACAGCAGCAACAACAACAACAATCTGAAGAATCTGAAAATAGTGAAGATGTAAAAAATAATCCTTTATCAAATCAACATGGATCAACAACAAATAGTAATAATAATAATTCTACAAATAGTGGTGGTGGTGGTGGTGGTACTGGTAGTAATGGAGAAACTTTTAATTGTGTTTATTGTAAACATACATTTAAATCACAATATTGTTATCAAAAACATGCAAAACGACATTTAAATCCACTTTCATTAGAACAAGGTGAAGGTATTATATTAGCACCATCAGCAACTAGTTTTCGTGATTTATTTAAAGAAACCACAACAACTACAAATATCAATTCTACAAAATCATCAATAACATCAATTGCATCTAGTGGAATAAATAATAATAATCATAATTTAAATCAGCATCAGCATCATCATCATCATAATCATTCACATCAACATCATCATCAAAATCATAATAAAAGAGATACAACAAATAATATGAATGATATTCAAAATTCTGATACTGAAACAAATAATAATCCTACAATTGGACACACAAATAATAATAATAAAAGAGAAGTTCGACCATTAGATATGAATGTTCAATATTATCCTTGTAAAACATGTGGTAGTAAATTTCCAAGTTATTATTTTGTTCATAAACATAGAAAGATGTGTCATTCAAATGAAGAGAATTAAAAAATGCAAATAAAAATTATTAAAAAACTTTATAATGAGAATTTGTTTTTTTTTTTTTTAAATTATTTAAATAAAATATTATTTTTATTACATTTTATTATATAATAATGTAGAAAATTGAAATAGAAATTAAATGAAATACAAGACATATCAGTTTTAAATATTATTAATAATAATTTTAAAAATAATAAAGAAAATAATGAAACTTAATATTAAAATGAGTGGAAAATTGAAATTTTAAAAATTTTTATGAAAATATAGAAAATTTCAATGATATTCCCAAAATTGTACATTAAAATTGTTTTCTATATTCAAATTGTATGAAAAAAAAAAAATGAAATAAAATTGTAAGTGTTAAAAAATAAAATAACAATTTCAATTATTTTTAATTATTTGCAAGAACAATTGAACGTAATATTGATAATCATCTAAATTCCCACAAAGAGTAAACTGTCACTATTAAAATTTAATTTCCAAAAATGTTTCTTTAAACGAATATTCGAATTAAAAATTTTTTAATTATATTATATTATCTTTTAATTATACGCTAGGCTAGTCACCTACCTAGCTAACTCCACACAATATCATGCACTAGCCCTATACTCCTTATAGGAGTGAAGAAGGAAAAAAAAAAAAATATTATCTTTCAAGCCCAATTTCAAAATTACTTCAAAATGGAATTAATGCATGCAAACTAGTATTGTTTTAAAAATAAAAATTCATATTATATACTGCAATAATTAATGTGATCAAATTATAATTAATTCAATACATTCAATTCATAATTTTAAATTAAAATTAAATTTAATAATTATTTCAATTAAAAAATCACATATCAGAGAGAACCAAACACTTGTGTTACATTACATATCAATGAAGCTTAATAATTAATTTATTTATTATTAATAATTTAATATTAATAATATTAATATTAATAATATTAATATTAATAATATTAATAACTTAATATTAATAATATTAATAATTTAATATTAATAAAAATTTTGAAAAATAAATTCTTTCTCTAAAATTGAATTAAAACCATAAAATTTGAAATTCTGAATTCCATATTATCAATTTATACTATAAAGATTTATACTAGAATTAAATAATTTTAAATTTATTTTAATGAATTTTAATTAATAATTTTAAAAATATTTTTGAATATTAAAAATTCAAAATATAAATTCACTTTAGTAAATTATTATAATTGTAACAGGGAAGGAGAAAATTCATATTTACTCATAATTGGAACATTCATAACAGGAAATTCTCAATTTCTCTCAAAGCAAAACTATTAAGCGAAATTATTAAAGTACTTTTACTTAAATATTCTTTTTTTTTTTAATTTACACTCAAACTCTCAATGCTATTGTATATTGTTATGAAATTTACGCTCAAGCTCTTAAACAATGCAATGTAAATAGAACAACTACAAATGTGCAGTATTGAAATGTTATCTTTGAAACACATAATGAAAATTAGATAGTGGTGTTCTTTTAAAATTATGATAAGATTTTAAAAATTATGTATGATATTTTCACCTAACAAGGTCTAATTAAATAAAATAGAATAAATTCTCATTAAACTGCAAAAAAATAATTTGAAATCTATTGCAATTATTTTGTTTAAACAACATTCTTAGTTATAATTATAGTGATATTTTTTGCAAATCAGCGAAAAAATTTACATTTCATTTTAAATATTTAAAAAAAAAAAAACAAAAATTATATTTGAAAACAAAAAAAAAAAAACAGGGAGAAAGAATACACAGAAAAAAAAAACACATACATACTATAAATAAAAATTTAATTAGTAATTAATCAAATTAAAAATAAAAAAAATAAATAAAATAAAAAAGTAAATACAAATGAAAAACGAACTTTTCAAGTGTTTTAATTACAGAAATCATAAAATTGAATTAAAAAAAAATACAAATATAATTTTCATCTTTTTATTTTATTTTTTTATTTATAAAATTAAAAAAAAAAAAGGAAAACAAAAAACTTTTCTTTTTTTCTGTTCCTTTTTTTTTTTTATTATAATTAAATTTTTTTATTCACTTTTTTTAATTTTTTTTTTTTCATTAATTGAATTCCCTCGGAGTGGTAAAATCATGGAAAATAAAATAAAAAATATACACGTAAGTATGTATTGGAAATGAAAATTGCAATGGGAATAAAATAATATCCTGAATGATTTTGACTTGAAGAAGAGGCTATACATTTTTTTTTACTTTGTATTTTTGAAGCACCACAATAATAAAGAAAATAATCAACTGAAATATATATTTTATTCGAAAATTTTAAAAATAACAAAAAAAAAAACAAACAATTAATCGCATAATATAAAAATCATTTGAGTTATCATTTACAAATACAAAGTTAAATAAATAATAATAAGAAAAAAAAAAATGAAAATAAAATATTTTTTTATTGCTATTAAAATTAAATCAAATAAAAAATAAAAAATCCAAGAGATTTTCAAAAAAAAAAGAAAAAAATTCTAATAGTATTAAAATATCATAAAATTTGTAATAAAATTTCTAATACAAAAAAAAATTTTAAGTTTCACCCGGAAGCCAAAAAAAAAGTATTTATTTATTTACAGTGAATTCTGAATAAATTGACTCTTATCACACTAAATTGACAGTCACAGTTGTTTTGTTTTGACAATTAATTTTTGACAATATTGCCTCTCTCTATAGTATTAGTATTACGAATATATCATAATAAGGCAAAAATAAGTGTTGCTATCCAAAAATCAATACAACATATTTGATTATATTGGAATAATCAAAAAATCCGCAAATCGTTGGAATAATCAAAAAATCCACAAACAACCGGATGACCAAATTGATTATATTAGAATAATCAAAAAAAAAACATTTTCATTTTACTTAAGCTTAACTTTGAAAATTGTTGTCATTGTTAATATTGTCATTTCATACACGATTCAACATTATATCCAACTTAACTAAGATGATCAACATATTTGTTGTATAAAAATTAAGTTTCTTACTTTTGTCCACATACATACATATAACTTCGAAACAAAGTACGACACATAATTCAAACTTTCGAGAGCATTTAGAGAAAACTTTTAAGGCTTAAAATTAACATTAATTTTCGAAAAAAAAAAATTATCAAAATCGACTTAAAATTCGAAGTTTAGAGATTAATATCAAAAAACACCATTGATTATTTAAAAATTCTTAATCATTGTTTAATTTTCGAAATTATTATTTATTTTAATTTCAAAAATTACAATTTTTTTTTTTTTTCTTCCTTCACTAAAATTTGACCTTTAACTTATTCTTTTTCGAAAAGTCACACACAATTAACCTATATTTTTTATTTTTTAAATTCAATATATGGAAAAAAAAAAAACAAGAAATAAAAAACTTTCCTCCTCTTCCCCTAACTAACGTTGTAATAGCAAAAAAGTTTAAAAATTTCTGCTCTAAATAAAATAAAAATTATATAATTTAATTTATTAATTAAAAAAAAAAAAATTGCTAGGACGCCATTATTCACTAATAAAATAGAAACAAAATTAAAATAATTGAGAACTTTAAACTAAAACAAAAAAAAAAAATGAAAATGAAAAAAAAAAATTTGTATAACTCTTTAATTAACATTTAATAAAAATTTAAAAACGAACGACGATTATAAATTTTAAAGGTCCTTTCCAATAAAATGCAATTCAAATAACAAAAAAAGAAAAGCAAAAAAAAAACTCGCAAAATAAATGCTTAATACACAGAAAGGAAAAGAGAAAAAAAAGAAAAATAAATACAAAACTTTCAATTAAAAATATTGACATTTCTTTTTTACTATTTATATTAAATCGAATTAAAATAATTTTCAAAGTATATAAATATTATATACTTATAAAAGCCACAATTAAACAAAAAGGAAATCACCATCGAAATTTCAACAAAAAAAAAAAATAAACAGAAAAAAAATGTGAGCGTAAAGTGAATTTTGACAGAAATCTCTGATACGAGACCAAAATTAAAAATAAATAATCGAGTTAAAAATGGATGTGTTATAAAGGAACATTCCATAAATCGAAACCATATTTGAGAATAAGTTTCGAAATTGTTTTCAATATTGTCCTTTTGACATCCCAATTGCAATAGTTCTTTATCCCTATACAATTCAGCAATAATAACATTTTCAAGCTGGATCGTGTAGTAATACAATATGTATTACCAAAAATTTTCATTAATCCTAATAGTAATAAAATAAAATAAAAAAATCGGTAAATTAGATTCCGGCAAAACACAAATATTTTATAATAATTGACCCAAAAATACCCAAAACCTATTTCTTTTAATAATGAGGCGAAACATTACAAAATTTTAACAAACAAATATGATAAAAATATACAATATTTATATAATTAGAATTTCTTTGGTTTTAAGAAAATTCCACATGATTCGATTTTTGTAAAATCGATTCATTAAATTTTGAAAACCTGTTCCTCGTAAATTAAGTTAAAAGTTCATATTTAATTAAAAAAATAAATTTATACTGAAGAATTTATTCAAGAAACTGAACTTAAACAATTTCTGTTTTTCACCATAGAAAAACCATATTCCTTATTTACTCAACATAACATTACCGTATAAATATTTCGGTTTTAAAATTACGATATTACCAATAAGTTCGTAAATTATCTCATTATCGATTATCGATTTTCAAATTTAATAATCGATTTTTCATATTATAATTTAATTTCAATTTTTATCCGTACACCAATTATTCGAAATTTAGACTCGTACACGCATATTATATTAAAAACTGAAAATTTGCTGAATTTTAAATTTTTTTTCTTTTTTAATTAGTCGTTCAATTTGAATTCTTTTTATATGAATATTTAAAAAAAAAAAAAAAATCTTTTAATTAACTTGTTTTCTCATCATTTCCCAATATATATTTTTAAGTATCAAAATATATATACTTATATACACAGATGTATACAACCTTTATGGTATGTATAGAATGTTCATGTACGTCAGACCAATTTTACGTATAATAAAAATTATTTGTACATGTGTAAGTAAATCAAGAAGAAAAAAAAAATCATTTTACCTTCGCGGATTTTTTTATTTTTACGCGGACTAGTATCATAATATTTTTGAAGACCCCCCCCCCCATTTCCCCCCATAAATATTTTATTAATAAATTTTTTTTTGCACTTTTTTACCCTCTTGCAAGCCAAAAAATTGTATGTAAAATGTTGAAATTCAGTCAATGATGATGAAATTTACAACCCTTTCTTGTTGTCTTCCTTTCTCTCTCTCTCACACAATTTATTCTTTTTAATATAAACTTTTAAAAGTGGAAAGAAAAAAAAAATTTCACCACCACTCTAAAAACAAAACAAAAATCTTTTTTTTTTTATTTCTCTTCTTTTTTGTTGTTACTTTTGAACGCAACTATCGCTAGATGAATTGAAATTCCTTCAGATTTCAAAATGAAAATTGCTAGATAGCCCTATATAGCGCTATGTAACTTGAGTTTCATATTTTGACATATATGTATATGTACAACTATAAATTCGCAAACATACACATTAAATATATATATTCGGCTAAAATATGAAAAGACTAAAGAGTGTTTGGGTGAGCAAAATATTTATTGCAGTTTAAGGAAGGCACTTTGATGTGGGGGAGATTTTTTTTTTTTTTACAAAAATTATATAACCGTGTAAATGAGGTGAGGAAATGAAGAAAAAGGGAAAAAACAGATTTTTTTATTGCGTTTTTTTTTATTCTACTCTACCATACCCTAGAGGGATCAAGAAAAAAAAATTAATTTTTTTTATTTCAGAATCTCTTGTTGTTTTGTCCTTTTTTTTTCCTTTCTCTTTCTTTTTTTGCATTAAAAAATAACATTAAATTAAATAAAAAAAAAATATTACTGGAAAAAAAAAAGATAATATACAAATTTATCTGTGTAATCTTTTTTTATGGCCTGACCAGTTAATTAATAATAAAAAAAAAAAAAAAAATATTAAAAATAAGTAAAAAAAAAAAACTTTTTAATTGTATGAAATTATTTATGATCAAAAAAAAATATCAAAGATTTTAGATTAAAGGAATTAAGGTAACGATTTCAAATACAATTTTTAAAATTTTTTCAATTTCTCATCTAAAATTTAAGAATAGAACAATATCGGAAGATAAAACTGAATTATGAATGAAAATTCTATTATTTGTATATACGTTAGAATTAAAACTTAACCTGATTCGGAGTGTTATATGCCCTCAGAAACAATGAAGCCGTTCACTTATCATTATAAGAACGAATTACAATGTATGAAACTTGAAAGAGAACGAAAAAGGAACACATAAAGCAGTGAATGAAAATATACACAATATCTAAGAAATACAATACAGAAAATCTAAGATTTAAAAAATTTATAAGACGACAGTCTTTCAGCAATAATAAGTTTCATTAAATATAAAGCGGTTAAAGTAAAATATACGAATAGAAAAACTGGAATTTTAATTTTTAATACTAATTAATACTTTTCAGCTCCGACTCCCTTCCTATGAAATGAAATTAGAAGAAAAATCGATCCTATCACAAAATTCTTATACTTACATTTTAGGTTTTAAAAAAAAAACAAATACAGCAAACAAATTATATTCTATATACTTATTTCCTAATTAAACCTGATTCCTATTCTTCATTTAAACTAAATTCTCCACATCTAAATTCATAACATTTATTCACCATATAATTTAACATTTTCTTTTTTATTGCTGTTAAATTTTTATTTTGCTTTTTATTTTATATCTGCACAAAATACACAAAATATAAACCATAGTAATCATATTTAAAATAATTTTCAATACATAAAATATACATATAATAAAATATTTAGAAGTGTTAATTTATTTAAATTTAATTAAATGAAAATAATGATTATATTTTCATTAAATTTGTTAATTCAATTGTATAACCTCGAGATAAATATCAATATGGTAAAAAAAAAAAAAACAATTTGCAAAAATAGAATATTAAAATAAAGCAGAGAAAAAAAAAATGAATTTAAATAATAAAAAATTTATTTAAATTTTCATTGTATATTGGGGTAAAAAAATACAAAGATAATAATCATACAGAATTCTATAAAAAAAAAATTAATATACACAAATTAATATAAAAATTATTAAATAATCATGAAAATTATATTTAATTTTTAAAATTTTTGAGTGGAAGAGTAAAAAACAAAGCCGTGTACAAATTATGATTCTTTCTTTTTATAGATATTTATGTATATGCTAATTATAATAAAATCATTATAATTTTCAATAAAATTATTGAAAAGTATAATAATACATTACTATATTTTACAAATAAAGGAAAACCAAAAATTAAGAAAATTAAGGTTTTGTGGCACACAAATTTTTGTAAACCATAAAAATGGCATATATAATATCATTAATAGCAATTGTATATTTCCATCTCTCTAATGATAATTATAATTTAGATTTGAAATTAAATTACTAGCACTGTAACTCATTTCTTTTATTTTTGGTACGAATCTCGAATTTTATAAAGAAAAAAAATTCTGCAGCAAATCAGATTTTAAATTTTATAACTTAAAAAGTTAAAATATGGTATAAAAATAAAAATAACACCCCAATTGTTTCAAAATTATAAAAGTTTCTTGAAATTTAGGAGCGCAACAGAACCAGTAAAATAAATATTAAGACCTTTTGATAACAAACAGATTGCTTATATATATAGCACAAATGTAAAACATTTGCAAATATTTATGCTAATCTTATAAAACCTAAACGAACTGAACTTCTAATAAACAGAAAAATATTTATTTTGTTTGGATTTATTCCATTTTCAAATAATATCACCTCAATACACAATATTTAATATTAATATGACCCTTGCAAACCATTATTATTTTTCACATTTAATTAAGTAAAAATATATTATAATGAAAATATATTTATAATTAAATAAATAAAAATAAAAACTTACCTTTAACATCTGAAACAATGCTATCAACATCACCATCATTAGTTGAAATGGCAGGATTTGAGGAAGCGTCTGAATCAAGGCGTTTCTTTTTTGGTTCACTAATTGTTAAGAAAAAAAAAATATTATTAATTTATTAATAGTATATTAATAGTAGTTTTAAAAAATTTTTATAAATTTCTTAATATATATATTAAAAATTTATGTATAGAAATAAGAAAATAATAATTATTAACATACAATAAGAGATTAGATTTTAAAGTATATAGTTTAATTTGATTTTGATTAAAATTGTTTTTAAATTGGAATATACATAGTAAAAAGACTCTTGAGTAAAGCAAAAGAAAAAACTTGTTCAATTAAACAGAGTTTCATAAATATAGATTCAAATCTTTTTTGTTTTCTGTTCATATTTTGAATTTTATGAAATATTTTTTAATTTAATATAAAAAAAACAAAAGCAAACATTTCGAATTTTAATTAAACGACTAAGTACATGAGTCCCGCAATAATTTAGAAATTTTCGAAAACTGAAAAAAAATAACCTAAAATAGTGATTTCTTTTATGATCTACCCTTTTATTTTTATTTCAATTTACACAAAATTCAATAAAAATAATTTAATTTAAATTATTCTACCGAAACAAAATCAAAAAACCACCTTTCATTTCACAATAAAAATTTAGGCAAAACAAAAATTTTTTGCTTTGCTATTTTTTGCAAGTTTATTCAACTTCAAAAAACGAAATTTTTCTCATTTAAATTTTTTCCTTTTTTTTTTGATTTTGTTTACTTTGAAAATATTGGAGATTTATTACAATAATTTTACAAACAATATAGGTACTATGAGTATTACATACTTATATAATGTAATATAATTTAGTATATAACTAAAAAATAATAATGTAATCAAATAAAAATTTTATTTGAAATCCGTTTACAGAAAGTGCATGCATATTACAAATACAAATTTATGCACATATGTGTAAACACATAATTTTATATTTTTTTACATATAAACTTTTATTTTCTGTTGTTTTTTTTGTTTTTTTAAATAACCATAATCCAATATTTCCGAATAGAAGAATAGAACAATTGAATTTTAATTTGTGTTTTGCCTTTTTATTTCCTTTTTATTCTTTAAAATCTAATCTGATAAGTATTTTCGCAAATATTTATTTAATAATAATAAAAAAAAATTTAAAAAAAATAATTAAAATTATTAAAAATAAGTTTTTTAATCGAATATTTGAAAATTTTATATTTTTAATACAAAAATTTCAATAGTTTACGCTACAAAAAAAAATTAATGTTCAAAAAATAATATTTATGAATTGAAAATCCGGATAAAATTTGTTCTTTGGTAAATTCATAGTTTAACAAACGATAAAACACTTGTTATCTTTTATTTCTTTAAATTTTCGATTATCTAAAAAGTTTTATTTTAAATTTCTCTAAATTTTACATTTCCATATTTATAAAGAAAGGAACTCAAAGGAGATACATAGAATCCCATTTAAATATTTATTGAGAGCCAATAAAATGTGGAATTTAAGAATTGATAAATTATATAAAGAAATCATGTATTCAATATCCTACGTTACTATAGATACTGATTTGAATTTATATAAATCATTTAAATAATTAGAATAATGTTAAAAACTAATTAAAAAAATTTTCTTTCAAACTCGTTACTCGATTACATTTGATAGTTCTAATAAATTAAACAATAATTATGTAAATATATTAATAATTATTTTAAACTAAAAATTTTAAATGAATATATAAAATATTAAATTTACCTAACATCTGAGTTATCACTACTGTCGATGAATTCCGACAATTTAGTTTTAATACCGCAACTATTCAATTTATTTCTATTATTACTGTCCTCTATCACTGATATAGATTCTTTATCTTTATTTTTATCAATAGAATTCATATCGTTTGACAAAAAATTAGAGGAGGCTGATGTAACAACAGTGGAATTAATAGCCGAAACACTAGCAGCAGCTATTACAATTTCAGATTTAATTCCATTAGGAGCATTAAGAGAATGTTGTAGCGGTTGTTGTATTGTTGTAATACCATCATTTATATGGCTTGTATTTATATCAGTAACAGAAGTAACAATTGATGAATTATTATTATTACAATTATTATTATCTATGTTATTATTATTTTTATTATTAATATCATTACTATCAGTAATGAGATTTCTGTTATTATCATTATTATTGTTATTAACATTATTAACATTGTTATTACTGTTGTTATTACTCTCATTATTACTGTTATTATCATTAATAATATTATTTTTATTGACATTTTCATTACTACTATTACTGCCAATAAAGTTTTCAGTATTAGCAATCTTATTATTATCAACATTATTACTATTATTCTCGTTGTTCTCATTTTTCTTGCTATTATTATTTTCATTATTATTATTTCTACTTTTGTCACTTTGTTTATTATCTTTATTATTATTTTCATTATTATTTCTTAAATTATCATATATATCATTTTTCTCATTGCTGCTATTATTTTTGCTTTCATTATTAATAACATTACTACGAATGATATTGTTTTCCGAATTATTGGTAATATCCATTTTATCAGTAATATTAGAATAATTTTTGCTATTGTTGTTATTAATATTAATAGGATCGCCCTTTTCAGTAATAGCACCGCTGTTATTTTCATTTTCGGCATTATCCGCTTTTACATTTTGTTTGTCGGCATCACGTTTTTTAGAGACATCATCATCGCTATTACTTTTAATATCTTCGTCGCTTGTTTTTAGGTTTTTGTTGATGTTAATATTCCTGTTTCTCATTTCACTGTCTCTTTCACTATTGCTTGCATTTTCATTACTGCTGCTAGTACATTCTCCTTCATTTTCTCTGCCAGATCTATTTTTACTATTATTTTTATTATTATCATTACTATTATCAGTATTATTACTATTACTGCCAGAAACGCCGACTATATTAGAATCATTGTGGTTTTTATTATTGATATTGTTATCCATCTTATCCTTGTTATTATTACCTTCGCTGTTAACTCGGATTTCCCTACCGACATTACTGTTACTGATATCACTATGAATACTAGTATCAGCATCATTCTGATCATTTTCTTTGCTGCTAGAAATGCTATTTTTATTCATACTATTAGAAGCATCAGTCTTACTATCATTATCATATTTAAGTTCAATCCCACTTTTTGCGTCACTTTTATCTTTTTTGTCCTTTTCTGTAGTTTTAATGCTTTTCTCGATGTCATCATTACTAGTATTCTTGTTATTACAACTATTGTTACTGGATGTATTATTACTATCAGTTGTGTAAATATTACTTGATTTACTAACGTGGGTTTTAACATCTTCCATACCAACTTGCAAACGGTCAACGTTTTTATCATAACTACTTTTATTATTTTCACTGTTATTATTATTGCTGTTAGTACTATTACTTCTGTCATCTAAAAGTTCAGTGTTACCAATAATTTTGCCCCTACTGCTGTTATCAAAGCATTTATCGTCTGTTCGATTTGAAGAATTATTATCATTTTCCTTCCGTTTCTTTTCTTCTTCATGTTTTTGCTTAAAATCGTTACGATTATCTTCATGTATGGTGCTATTACTGGGATTAGTACTGATGCAACTGATATTAGGTGTTATATTACCACGATCTTCTTTTCCAATAATGTTACTATCATTACTGCTACAACTTTTCCTGTCAACGTTCTCAATACTATTATCGTTATTTTTTATTTTGCCGTTATTTTTGTTGCAATTATTATCATTTTTACTGTTCTCGTCATTACTAGTTTTGCTATTGTTAATTATACTACTTTTACTGTCAACATCATTTTTGTTAATCACGCTATTGTTGCCGCTGTTACTTTTATTACTGTCGACATTTTTACTATTATTGATAATTTTCTTATTGTCATCATTATTATCGATATTACTTTTATTATAATTGTTATTGTTATTAGGATTATTGTTATCATTACTAATACTTTTACTGTCATTTGAAACATTTTTGCTTGGAATATTGTTTTCAGTAGTGATTTTAATGCCTGTAACTATCTCGGTATTTCCATTATTTTCAGTACTTTCATTATTCGTGTCATTATTATAATTTTTGTTGTCGCGATAGCAGGAATTACCAGTCCCAAAACTTGTACCAGAAGAATCGTCGTTTTTTCCAACACTATTTGCGCTATCCTTACAAATGTTTTCGTCACCACTAACATCACGACTACTTTTACTACTGATTACACTTGTACTACTTTCGTTACTGTTTTTACTTGAACTAGTATTGTTGTTTCTTGTCTCATCATTACCAGCATCAATTATTTTTAATTTGTTGCTATCATCAGTACATTTGTTATTCTTGCTGGTTACGTTGTTCCCGTCATTACCATCAATGTCTTCATTAGATTTGTTTTCAGATTTATTTTTACTATAATTAACATTGCTTTTTTCCTCATTTCTTTTACAAATAGAGTCAAAGTTGGTTTCTCTCATATTGACATCAATATTACTACTACTACTAGGACTATCTACATTACTATTTTTATTATCTCTATTTTTACTATTATCATTATTAACGTTACTGTTAATGTCCTTTTCATTTTTGTGATCTTTACTACTATTATTCATATTATCATTTTCAGAAACTTCATTTTTATTATATTTTCTATTATGATTACTCGTGTTATCTGGATTAATTTTACTATTTTCATTATCATTATTTTTATCGTTTTTGTTACTTTTATTCATATTTTGACTGTCATCATAACTATTTCCATCATTCCTAGTTTTACTATTACTAGTAATATTATCATTAGTACTAATGATGTTAACAGTGCTATTATCAGCATCATTAACAATAACAGAACTATTCTTTTCATTGTTGCTATGGATATTATTATTATTATTATTAGAACTACTAATATCAATGCTATTATTAGTATTTATTTTTGTATTTTTATTTGTGCTACATACATCCTTGCTCTCATTTATATTTTTGTTATTGCAAGCATTGACATTATTTGTTTTACCAGCGACATCGATTCTGCTGGTGCTGCCTTTAATGGCGATATCCCCATTACCGCTAATTTTACTATCGTTATTAATACTGCAACCAACATTACTGTTGTCACTGCTATTACTTGCAACATTTTCATTTTTGCTATCGTCTTTGATATTATGAATGTTTCTTTTGCTGTCGTTATTTTGTTTAATGTTGCTTTTATTTTCGCTATTAGTATTTTTCTCGTTTTTATTATCATTTGCTTTGTCATTTTTACTACTTTTACTATTGTTGTTGCTTATTTTATTATTCGTGTTACTGCTATTTTCATTACTGGTTAAGATATTGACCTTCTTATCAATATTATCGGTTTTATTATTGATATTGTTGTTACCATCATTTTTATTTTTATTACTGTTACCATCATTATTATTGTTGTTACTATTATTATCATTTTTATTATCATTATTAATATTATTATTATTACTGTTGCTATTACTATTACACTTATTATTATTGTTACTACTATTATTATTGTTGCTATTATTATTATTATTATTTATATTATTAATATTATTAGTATTATTATTATTATCATTATTATTATTATTATTATTATTTTCATTATTGTTATTACTATTACCATTATTATTATCATTATTATTGTTATTACTATTATTTTTATTGTTATTGTTATTCATATTATTATTTTTATTATAATTATCATTATTAATATTTTCATTACTATTATTATCATTATTATTCTTACTATTAGTATTATTATTATTGTTATTACTATTGCTATTAGTATTATTATTATAATTTTTATTGTTATTATTAATAATATTGCTACTATAACTACTATTATTATTAGAGTTATTATTATTCATAGTATTCTTACTCTTGTTATACATATTATCCTTATTGTTTTTATTAGAACATTCATTTTTTTCATCAATCTTGTTATCTACTTTCAATTTTTTATCTTGACTATTTCCTTCATTACATTTATTTTTGTGACCGCTGTTGTTGGTATTGAAATTTTTAGTGTTACAACTGCTATTACTTTTGTTATTATTGCTATTATTATTAATATTATTAGCGTTATTATTATTATTACTGGCGGTACTACTACAACTTGCAATGCTATCACTTGTATTAATCTTATTGATCTTAACAGTACTTGAATTATCGCATTCGCCATCATTATTTTTATTATTACTATTTTTATCATTATTATTTTTGGTTTTGTTGTTACTATTATTACTAATGTTACCATTATTTTCATTATTTTCATTATTGCTAATTTCGTTACGAACTTTATTTGTACTAGTACTATTATTATTGCTATTACTTCTATTATCGGTATTGTTGTTTTTATTGGCATTAGAGTTATCATTGTTATCATTTTTATTCATGGTTGTATTGTTATTACTTTTGTTACTGTTATTGGTATTATCATTGTTACTATCATTTTTATTATTTCTAATGTCATTATTACTCTTATTATTGTTATCGTTATAATTAATATTTTTAATATCATTACTATTCCTGCAACTGTTATCGTTCATATTTTTACTGTTATCACTATTATCACTATTATTATTTACACTTTTGATATCATTATCACTTTTAAGTGAACTATTGTTTTTATTTAAATTATTATTACAACTTTTATTCAAATTTCTGTTTTCATTATTATTATTACTATTATTGTTAGTTTTAATATTACTATGAATACTACTATTACTATGAATTTTATTATTTGTGTTACTAATGTTACTTATATTACTAATGTTAGTGAGGGATGTGCCAACGTTTGTAGATGGGACTCCACTTTCTGCTACACCAATTTTTGTTTCTGATGTAGAGCAACTACCCAACTGTGTTACATTTGACGATGTATTCGTTGACATTTTATCTTTACAAATTGAACTTTCAAGTGTGCATGCCGCACTCATACTTTCTTTACTATTAGCTGCTGCTGTTGTATTAGATACACCATCAATTAAAACTGATTCCGATTTCTCAATTGTTGCTTGTAGCGAGTTCACAGCCGATATATCAGTGGCAGAATTATTACTAGCCAAAGACGTTGTTGAAGATGTTGCTTGCAATAATGAAGACGATGATGACGTTGTAAAATTACTGTTTGTTCCATTTGCTATTGTGCTAATATTACTGCTATTAACCGAGGAATTTGTGGGAGTAGCGATTGTTTTCGATAAATCATTCCCTGTACAACTTAATGGGGATTGTGGCGTATTTGTCATACTACTCAGGGCCACGTTGATTGTATTTTGAGTGGTTATCGAATTAGATTTATCACTTTTATTATCTAAAACAATGAAAAGAAAAGTTAGAAAAATGCTCTACATATATAAATTTGTTTAACATTTGAAAAATTACCTAAATTCGATTGTCGCAATTCGATAGAATTATCTGTTGCCATTTCAGCACCTATGGATTCATTTACTAATTTAATTGTCGTATTTGATTCTGAATTATCAATTGCATCATTTTCAGCTATTACATTTATTGATATATTACCACTAGGCGATCTATTAGCTACCTCAGAACTACTAACCATTGAGCTAAACAATGCTGCATCAGAAGCAATACTATCAGACGCCACTTGTCCATTATTCGTACTATTAGAACTACTCGATATAAGGGCATTATCAATGTCGCCACTAATAATGTCACCACTAATAATATTTGTTGCACCAGTGGCTGTTGTATTTGATTGTGCGGTACGGTCACGACCGCCAGTCTTTTGTTGTTGCTCACGTTGCAATCGTGTCGTCACACCAGTTGTCAATGAATCAACAATACACTGCGGTACTTGTTGTTGTCCAGTCTTTTGTGGGTTTCGTGAGCTTCGAGTTCTTTGACGTGACTTTCTTAACAACTGCTTATAATTTTCCGTCTTTTTACTGAGGTAGTAATAACGAACACAATCCTGTGCTGACTTACGATCTAAACTTGCTGCAATAACCCCGAAATTTTTAGGGTGCTGCAAAAATTTTTCTTTAAAGATTTCTTTTTCTCCAGATGTCCAAACGTTTACATTTTGTCGATCTTTATAATCGTTTACCATATCAAGCGTCGCACCGTTTTCGTTATGGTAAACAAAACGACGTTCGCGGGGATCTAACATTAAAGGTGGTATCACAGCATATGAACGCATTTTTTTCTCCTCAATTGCCTGTTCTTGCAGGCCATCCATAATTTCTTCTAAATCAGCTTCCGATTTAATTCTGGATCCTACACGATTAAATCTCTCCTTATCTTCACGTTGCTTTCTAAGCTCTGTAAAAACTTTTTCAAAAAATTCTCGATTTTTTGCTTCTTTTGTTTTTCTTTTGACACTATTTTCAGCTTTTTCAACTCTCTTCTGCCATTCTTGTGTCATCTCAGTATATTTTTCAATTAATGCAGAATTTTTAGCAGCCTTTTCTAAACGAATTTTTTTAATATGCAGAAGTAAATGTGTTTTAAATATTTCATGACGTTTCTTTTGTTCTTCGATAGTCTCTACGTCAGACGGTTGATTATAGAGTGGGAATATATTCGGTGGACCCAGTTTATCAAAAGTGGAATGTACATCTTCAGCTCGTTTTTTATTTTCGGCATAACATTTAGAGGCTAAACTACGATGTTTTGGTTGCACTACTTGTGTTTCTTCTGTTTTCGCACATAATTTTTGAGATGAAGCTTGCTCTAACTTTTCAGCTTTCTTTTTCAACATTGCCATAGTCTTTTCTGTTTCGTTAATCTCCATATCAACTTTATTAATTTGCATTAAAAGTTCATCCTTCGCAGTTCGACGTTCTTCTATTGGATCATTAGGCAGTGTTGGTGAGATCGCTTCGACTTGAGGATGATAGGCTTCTGTTGCTAAATTTCTATGTTCTCTTGTATCTACTTTTAATTGTTGAGTTGGAGGAGCTGTAGATGAAACTGCAGTTTGAACTATAGGCGCTACAATTGCTACAGGCTGTTGAGGCCCAACTATGTTCGCAGGTGCATTGGCGGAAACATTAAGAATAGTCGCTCCAGCAGGCACAATTGATGGCAGGTGATTTGATGAACTAATTTGTTGCTGTACTGATAATTGTTGAACTTGCTGATGTGGATGCGGTTGCTGTGGTTGTTGTTGTTGTTGTTGCTGCTGTTGTTGCTGTTGGGATTGTTGTTGTGATTGCTCCTGAACATTGGAAACACTAACACCAACCCCAATACCCAAACGCATTTTTTTATATGGTCCTCCACAATCTGGTAACTGTTGAGGAGGCTGCCTTGCCACAACAGCAGCGGCAGCTGCATTTGACATGTAATCACTAGGATGTGCTGGTATAAGTGATATTCTTTGCCCGGCGCGACCGGTAAGTATTGATGCCTGTTGTGATGAATGGGTTTGTTGCTGTTGTAAATGATGTTGTTGCTGAGCTTGTTGCACCAAACTGTCCATCGTATTGGCGGGTCCAACTGATACAATAGGCAGGCTACTAGATACAATAACTTGACCAGCAGCAGCCGCAACAGCAGCCGCTGCCACTCTATGATACTCTTGAGCTTGACTGGATATTTGAGGTATTCGAGCGTATGTTGTTTCTCTATACTGTTGTTGCACTTGTCCAGGGCCACCACCATTTGGTCCACCATGAGAGACAATTGACCCACCATTTCCACCTCCAATACTGTAAGCACTATGCTGAACGTAGCGATGTGGCGCTTCACGTACGGCAGTGACATCTGCAAATCTAGGATAAGTATTTGCTGCTCCTGGGCCTGGTCTCGGTGGTGAAAGTGGACTAGCTGCCGATCTTGACTGCTGCGGAGGTGCACCAATTCCTCCTTTTGTATAAGATTGCGGTGTGTCAACAGGCCTAAAATAAAAAAGCATAAAATTTATAATTAGTATTTTGCCATCTTAATAATAATTTTGAATAAATAAACATACATATGTATGTATGTGCATTTATATGCACTTCAAATGCATTTACATATATTATTTTGCATAAATAAAGTTTTATTTAAAATACCAAATGCAATCCATATGCGATATTTCCAAATATTTCCAAAATATATAAAAATTATTATATGTATGTATTTAAGAATTTTTTATGTGTATAACTAAATTTGTATCATAAATTATAAGTATTTAAAGTTAAAGCAAGCAAATTTAATTTTAATAATAACCTACACACATTTATGTATGTAATAAGTATGACTGTCAGACAAAATGAAAGTGCAAACAATGTTGTTGCAATAAACAAACCTCTGCGCATTGATTAAGTACAAGAGAGGTAGGTAATCTTAGGTTCATCAAATCGCGTTGTCTCATTCTGACAATGAAAATGAAACTGCTAGAGTGCTAATCATAAAACAGATGATACAAATTTAGGTTTTATAATTTAGCAGTTGCACGTTTACAATTGTTGCTTAACGTTAGCTTTTTATTTTTCTAAATTTAAGATTGAGAAATAGAAAAAAAAAAAGACAATTTTGAGTTATTTCTCTCATGTGCAAAAGAAAAAAACATGAAAAATTTCATCCCTTAATCATTATGTTTACAAAATGATATTCTTGACATTTTGATTTAGCCAGAATCGCCAAATCTGTGGGATCCAAAAATGCTGTATAATAAGATACTTATGATTTTATTTTTAAATTCAAATATTTTATTTAAAATTTTTTTTCTGGAAATATTTTTTTTTTGGACTAATTTTTTTTAGCTCATGTAAACGACTCATTACTGAGACTTAAACTTGTGTGCTGAAACAGAAAACCTTTTTAAATTTCATCTGTCAATTATTCAATTGTCATTTTTGTCAGATTACCAGATGGTTTTTTGTTTATTTTTCTTTTTCATTTATTTTATTTTTTAACATAGCCTGGACTGTTGGTTTTACCAAAAAGTAATTTTATTTTTTTAGGTAATTGTTCATTTTTTATTACAACACGTTAGATGTTACAATATAGATGTTACACAGGCTGACATTTATACTCCACGACCGAGCAAAATCTAATGTAATAAATTTTGCAAATTGTAGCCTTTTCGTTTTGATTGAATGATTGAATATTTAAAAAAAACAAGCGTATTTTAATTTGTTGTTAGTGCATTTTCTAATTTCCTTTAATTTTAGTTTTTAAATTCTATTACATATACATATATTATATTTAAATATGAAATAATTTTGTATAATTAATTTATATATAAAAAAACATTACAATAGAAAATGTTGAGAGTTTTTAACTCTTAACTTCGCACTTTACTTTATTAGCAAAGTAAAATTTTAAACCATCTCCGTTCTAGAAAATATGCAAAATTGTTTGTTTAACGGTTTTATTATGTATCGTGTTTACGAACATTTCCTCCAATCTGCTTCAAAAGTTCTTTTAGTTCAGTTATTTCTTCTCTCATTTTTTGAAATTCAGACCTTAAACAAAATAACATACGCAATATTAAAATGAAAATTATTTTGACTTAAAAAAATTATTTACTTTTCTTGTTCTGTAAACATAGGTGCTCGAATAACCGGTTGCCCAACACTTTGTACTGAAGAAATTAATGGAAGTGGTGCTGAATTTGGTGATAAAGGTAATTGTGGTACGACAGGAACGGGTGCTGCTTGTATTGCAACAGGTTGTACTTTCTGTAATTGTGGTACTGATGCTTCATTCATTGAGGTAACTGAAGTTATCTTTAGAGAAGGATGTGCAGCAGATGTAACTAAAGATTCATTTGAAACTTGTGGCGTAATTACTGAAGATTTTGCAGGTATGAATTGAATTTTTGGTAAATTTGTTGGATTGGTTATTGGTTGTGTTATTTTTAATCTTTTATGTGTCGATAAAAGTGGTTTTGGATCATGATGATTTAAATTTATATTTTGTTTTGTTGTAGATTTTCTAGCGGATTTTACTGTCTTTGATACACTTTCTATAAATGTATTTAATCTTTTTGCTGCCGACATTCTTTGTGAATCTAATAATTTTTTTAAAGTAGTTGGATCATTATCTTCAATTTTACGTAAAATATCTTTTTCAGTATCAATTATTACAGTATTCGTAACATGAACATGTGTATTTTGTAATATTTGGTATTTTATTTGAGTTTTATTAAAATTAATACTCGCTTCTGTATTGTCATCACTTTTTCCACTTACATTAAAAACTGATGTGTAACCATTTACTAAAAGTGGCTCTTTTAAAATATGCGGATCACTTATAATTTCCCGATTTATTTCTGGTTCATGAGGTACAAGTGAAATCAATTCCGGTGCTGAACATGATGGATTTAAACACATTTTTCCTTCCATTTTTAAATAATACAATTAGTTTTTTTTTTTCAAAAAGGCAAAGATGTATAATAATTTTAAAAAACAATTTCCTAAAAATTATAAAAAAGAAATTATTGTTCGGTATGTGCATCTGCAAAGCTGCAATGTACATCATGTATATTGCAGCGTACATATGTATATACATACATATTTATGTATGTATTTATAGATTATCTGCTTGCAAAAAATTTTTACAAATTTTCAACTTGGATTAATATTTTTAATCGTAATACTTACTTGAATTACATATTTTAATACAATTTATTGCCACAAAAACTTTTAATTTTTACTTTTATATTAAAAATTATTTTCTTAATGTATCTAAAATTTGAATTCTACTTTTTTTTAAAAGAACATGACTGTAGAAAAAAGCTTCATGTTCATATCCTTATTAAATGTAAAATGTCATTTATACGTCAAATAAAAAATTATGGCGTTTTGTAAGAAAAAGACAAATATACGTAGTTTCAAAATAGTAATGTCACATTGTAGAGATTTTTTTCTTGACAATTAATTAACTTAGTACAGACACAATCCACTATTTTAATACTGATAAAATTTATTTTTATTGAAGTTGAAAACCAAAAATTTATAAGTCTCCAAAAGAATAAAAAGTATATATTCATCTCATTCTTACTACAACAAATTATAGAAATTGTATAATGGCGTCTGGAGATCAAATTTTATTTCCATAGAAACGTAATATGTGTGTTGGTGAATTTTTGTAATGGCTGCCAATGTTTTTGAATTGCATGGTTTATAATTTTTTCTTCTCTTCTTTTTCGTTTTTTCTTATTTTTAATCATTTTGTTGTGTAAACGCCTTCAACCATTACATAAAACGAAACTATACAATTATTATAAAAAGGGGAAATTGAATTTTTTACACCAAAATGATTTAAGATGAGCAAAGGTTAAATTTTATGTATGTACATAAGTATGTACCTATGTATGAATATATTTTACATGTACCTGCATATAAGAAATTATTCTGAAAATATCGATTTCATGCAAAAAAATTTTTAATGTAAACAATGGCATCTAGTATACAGCAGACAAGTTTGCATGAGCAAATAAAAGAACACCATTTCAAATGTACTAGAATAATAAAAAATTTTTATGACTTTGTTTTTCTATAATATATGTACATGAATTGCAGAAGTATGGACAGTTGCATTCTTATGAAAAAATTGAAAACAATGGACGCATTATTGTGAAATCTGCATGTGGATATAGTTAAATATGTACATATATACATATACATATACCTTTATATGTATGTACATATTTATCTGAAAACATCTAACCGTATGCATAGATGAACTTACATATGCATGTATAATTAAATGCATTCATAATTCATTCAGCCATACTTCACGTACTTATGCGTAGTTTAAATAATTAAAAACTAAATTGTACGATATTTGTATGTACATATATATGTATGTATGTAAGTAAATGTCGTATATATTCAATTATTCTGGGCATACAGTATACATATTTCAAATATGTATGTATGTATGTATGTAGGTACTAAGCAACGCAAGTTTTGGCGTTTTTTTACTTAACTTCGCCCAAAATTCTCAATATATGTATGGATGCATAAATATTACATGCCTACATACATATGTTTTCAAACTAAAAAAAACGTGAGTTTAACTACTCGCTAAACTTTATTTTGAGTTTACCGTAGCGCTAAACTTCATTTTAACACTATAGATCCCTCTTTGATAGTTAAGTCACATTTAAAACTGCTTTAGATAAAATTTAGAAAATAATTTTTTTAAATAAATTTTATTTTAAGTTACATATGTATGTAATATGTATGTATGTACATTTTTACTTATATGAATGTCTATACGCAAATAGGTAAGTATATTATGTACTTATTTCAGGGTTCAAACAATTAATAGAAGGGAAATATTTAGTTAACTCTGCATTCAAACAATTTACGATGCGTACATATGAATGTACGTATGTATAAACATACATATGTATGTATATGGAAATTGCCTTTGCCTTACTAATCCAGAAATAATTTTCATTTAAAATATAGGTTCAAATAAAATCATTTACAAAATTATTAAATAATAAAATCAAAATGAAAAAAAATTATAAAATTTTCAATGATTGTAATGAGTTAGATATACATAAGCACATACATACTTACATACTTCTTAAAACGAGTAGAATGAAAAATTTAATATTATCTTTATAGCATAAAAGAATTATGTACATGTATTGCAATTTCCAAATTATTTTCTAATTTCTTAAGGAAAAATTATAATTTAATTTACTGTCAATCTTATTTATAAGTAAGACTGGTAGTGTAAACCGTAGCTTATTGTTGAACTTACACAAAAAATCATTATTACAATTCAATTTTTTTAATTATTAAAATTTATAAATTAATTTTAGAAAAATTAAATTTATATCTCAAAATGTTTTCAGATCAAATCATACAATTAATTTTGTAATAGACCAATCAGACTTTTACAAAAGATGATTTCTTCTTGAAAAATATGTTGCAAACTTTAATTTTCATGTAATTCTAAATTTAATTAATTAAAAATATTATATTAAAAGATAAATACATAGCAAAAATCCATTTTAAACATGTAGGCATATATATACCTAGATGACTCTCATTATTCTCGAATTAAAAACTCATTGGGCCTCTGAAAAACAGAAAAACCAATACGCATTTTCAATACTTATGTATGTATGTACATATGCAGCGTATGTATGTATCTACTTAAAAATTTTCTTTCTAAATTAAAGAAATTTTTTTTTTATAAATTAATTTTTTTTTTCAATCAAATTAATTACTATTATTTTACAGTCATTTTGAAAATATCGAAAAAAAAAGAAAACACACCCTTCCATTAAACGATTTTTTATTAGATATACATACTTATGTACATACATACATATGTGCACACATATCCCGGACACAGATTTAATATGAAATATGTGTACGTATATATAAACTAAATTTATAAAAATAAATATACAAATGTTCATATATGTACATATTTAATAAGCAATATAAAATATTTATGTATATAAATATATACTTAAATAAATTTATATATTAATGTTTATGTAAAAACTATTTTTATAACAATCTTCCAGCTCTTATATACATAAAATCATATACATTATATTGAACATAATATTATATATGTACATACATATGAATATGTTGATATATAGAAATTAAATTCATACAATGTGCCTACACTTGTACATACTTGTATACTTAAATAGTTATTTATATACTTACATTAATAAACTTTTATAATAATAAAATACATAATGTATAACTGCATATACTTAAGTATACACTATAAATATGTACGTATATATACATGGTTACTTATATAAAACATAGTCTTGATTCTTGAATACCAAAAAAAAATAAAAATAACAGAAACCATTACCATTTATAATATGTACATAAAAAAACATTTTTCAACAAAAATACATACTTATATACATACAAACATACATACACGCATGCATATGGAAAATTGGTACATACATACATATATAAATTTTATATTTATATAAAATTCGTGTGCATGTTTTTTTTTTGTATATAAAATGAAAAGAAAAAGCAAAAAAATACAAAAATATAATAATAATAAAATAAGAGAAAGAAAAGCTCAAAAAATCGATAAAGGTCTTATTATCTGGAACTGAAAATAAAAATGAAACGTTATTTTATTTTTATAATATGTAAGGAAAATTTAAAAGCATACAAAAAAAAAAATAACAATATAACAAAAATAAGAGAGAAACATGAAATGGAAATTATTTTTTTTTTTTATAGAAATTTTCAGAAAAAAAAACAACAAAAATGTAATAATGCGTTCTTATTTTCCATACACACATTGTACTTTCATACATATTGTATGAACATAGAAGAAAGTATTTAGGTATAAGTATAATAAATGCTTTAAGCTGTTCTTTGCTCGTTCTAAGGTTACAATCAAATTTAAAATACATACATACTTAATAATTACATATAATATTTTCATTTCGTAACCCATACATATGTATATGTATGTATGTAGGTACACAACAAAATTGAAAGAATTTTACAACGCTTTGCAACAATACAAAATTTGCTAAAAATTCATACCCAAAACTACGTTAACAATTTTTAATAAAATTTTTTAACATTTTTACTAAAATTCTTGTCCATACACAATTCTTTTACACGTATACTAGTTTTATATTATGTAGCTTTTAAGATTTTTAATTCCAACTTCCGAACCTCATCTTATGCAATAGTCTTATTCATACTTTTATAAGGTTTAACAACACTATCAAACACTTTTAAGCCTGTTTACACGACACTTCCTTTACAGTCATTGGTTGACATAAGTACGTTCAAATTTTTGACAACAAAAGTATTTATTTATAAATTAGAATAGAAACAATTCGAAATGTTCTTTTAAAAATTATTGCTAAAAAAATATTTAATTATACACAAATTACATTATGCAGGTACGTATAAATAAAATTATTTATTAAAATATTTTATTTTTTTAATGGAATTTATAAATAATTTTTATATATAACTTAAAATTTTATAAAAACAAAAAATTCTTCATAAAAATATTTATAAATTTTTATTTTCTCTCTAAATTTTGTTAAATAAATATTTTTAAAAATAAGTGCTTAGTTAAATAATAAAATTTAGATTGAGTATTTTACAGATTTTCTTTATAAATACGTAAAGTATTTCTCTTTTAATATTATTACTAATATTAATAATTTCAATTTAGCTATAATATAATAAAATAATAATAATCTCTCCATCTCAAATTAATTTGATCAATGTATGCTATTATTACATAACATGAAAGTAGTAGCAAGTTAAATAAGTGCTGAAATAATAAAGTCATATACATAAGTTATTATTATAATAAAATAATGAAATTATTTACAAAAATATTACTTCTCTATTTACTTATAGAAATATTATTATTCCATTTCCCTTAATTGCAAATATATACGATATACTTATGTTGCAACAAGACTTTAATAAAATTATTAACATTAAAATTATTTGAGATAAACAGTAAACTCTCTTTCTAATAATTGAATGCCATACCAGTAATAATTTAAATACTGTTAACAATTTTTCTCTTCAATTTCTCTTTAATATTTTAACTCGAAAAATATTATTCTATTTAATTATAAATAGTCGAAACAATTTTCTCTTTCAAAATTTTTCAAATATGGTAAAAATTATTTTTGAATAATATTTTAATATTAACATTTTAAGTATTTCTTATTTTTCAATTTAAATTTCAGTAATTTTGGAAATTGAAACTTAATCTAA